TTTTAAGGTGATTACGATTTTTTTTCGGTAAAATTAATGTTGTTCCCTCGCTTTTTATTTATCATACGATTACTCTTTAATTAAACCGAAATCATATTGTTCTTTTGTGGGGTGCATTTTTATTTATTAAATAATAATTATCACAACAACCATTGGGGATTGAGGCGAATTGGGGGAATCTTGGCTAATTTACTTTAGCTGTCAAAATATGATTTAAAAAAAAAAAAAAAAAAAAACAAAAAAAACCTAATCACTGAGGAACTCCTTTTTTTTTTGATAAAATAAATACCAAATTTTATGATATTGTTCTTTTTGTGTCTTTTTATAATCAAGTTCAAACATTCGCACAAATAAAGAGAATCTGAGAACACTTTAATTATATTATTTTCTCACACAATCATATTTAACCTTTTTTAACGTGTCCAATTTATCCATATTCCAACATTTAAAAATTTTGCCAGAAAAATGCCCGTAAATCAAGTTTAGTTATACGATTCACACGCCGAAAATAGAAGGAAAAGGATAATTTAAATTGACCCATTTAGGTTGTGCAGGTATTATTTATTTATTTATTTATTTATTTATCAAAAAATTATTATTTTATTTATTTTAATAATCTTTTTTTTTTTGATGCGAGGTGGCGTAGCAAGATTGCGCTCCGCTTTTTTTTTGTTTTTTTTTAGATGCATCCCTTCCTTGCCGTGCCATCTTCATCTCAATAATGGGTTACCCGTGAATTGTAAGGGAATTTTTGATTTCTCTCCCTCCCTTTCCATATTATTCTTCCATTTTTTTTTATTTTATTTATTTATTTATTTATTTACATTAGTAGTAAATCATCAAATTGCGCAACTTAAATTAATTTCCTAATTAATATAAAACGTATTGAACCTGTTTAAACCCTTAATAGCTAGTTGATTTCTAATTTAATTTCTGGGCTAAGCTAATTAAGAAATAAGAATGTACCGTGTTCAGAGTTCCCGACTCTCCAAATAAAATAAAAACCCCCCCCCCCCCCCGAGTTTTAAAAATGATCAATGCAAATAACTGCATATACCAATAATTTTCATAATGGAAAAATTAAACAATGCAAAAAAAAAAAAAAAAAAAAAAAAAACAAAAACCATATCCTTAATCATGCCATTCATTTAGTAAACAAACATTTGAGAAAAGGTATGAAAGGCTTGGATGAAAATGGTTAGAATTACTAAAAATAAAGTTTTTTTTTTTCTTAAAAGGCAAGAAATACTGATGACCTGGTAAATACTGCAACAAATAATGAAATTTCCTCGTGGAAACGTCAAAGGGAGCAATGTGAGACGGATTTTCCTCAAAAATCTTTTTTTATCTTATTTTAATTTACTTTATTTTTTACCCTTGTCTTTTTTTTTTTTTTTTTTTTTTTTGTTTTTCAAAGAAATCCTTCCTTATTGTTGTATGCTTCCACTTTTTTATGTTCCTTGTTTATAAAAAAAAAAAATTATATTGATTTGCTTGACCACATGTCACATATATGCCTTTGTTCTCTTTATGGTGCACTTTAAAATGCTCTATTCTTTATTTTAAGAATGCAGGCGAGTACCGAAATACCGCAATTATCGCATGGGTGAGAACCTATTTGGTTGATGTAGTTGATGTGCAAAAAAAGCACGGTAAATCGCGAGCGTTTGCGCGCGCATACACACACACAAAAAAAAACTCGATACAATTACATGCACAAAGAGATCTAAAGCTCTTCTTGAGACTAGACAAGCGTACTTAGTCACACCACTACAATAATAATACAAGATTATTGGGCAAGTCCTTTTCAGTTACACATGCCAGGCATTCACTCACCACCCAACCTGAATGAAGGGTTGTTTTCTTTCTTAAATGAATTTACGAATGAAAATCAAGAGCGCAATCGTGTCATGTGAAGGGTCATGTTTCAATGAAGGATCAGGACCTCTAACTTCGTATCACAAATAAACAAGTTACAATACGGTAAATTCTAAATTAAGAAACATATTAAAAATATTTTCCAAGTTACTGCAGGGATAAACTTGTCAACAATGCCAAAATGGTTATATATGTTGTTTTTGTGATACAAATATTTTTTTTTTCTGTTTGTGTTGATAATTAGTTAATATGAATATCTCGCGCTTTAGATTGAAAACATCTTTACAGATTGAATTATCAATTTACGACTTGTAACCTTCAACAAAAACCTGAATCAAGGCGCGACGTTAAATAAAAAAAAAATTTTTTTTTTCTTTTTTGAAACCTGAAAACCTTCAATATGATTGGAGCTAACCAACAGATTATTTTATTCTCACGATTATCCTCGTTCTGACCTCTTACAAAAAGGGAGATTGAATCATGTTTTTATCATGATTTTTTAATGCGGTGGTCGTTCAAGTTTCTTTACAGGTTTGATCCAAGGGGATTTGGGATTTTCTTCATAATGATTAAAAATGGAAGTTGGAATTTCTCAGCGAAAGATTAATTGAACGTCTTAGATCGATATGACGCGCGATAAGCAACCTAAAATCAATCCAATAATTGGAAATTGTTCCTGAATTCAACTTCACGCAATATTTACTAATGCGATAACCGCTCCTAATGAAATATATCGTCAAAGGTTACGCCCATGAAATAACGATAACTTCAGCCACCCTGACATTACGGGCTAACATTCCCATATTGGCAAAAGCCACTAAATTAGTTTGATAAACTAAAAAAAAGTTACCCCTTAGCAGGCGTAGTAACGCACGTAAGCTACGTACTTTGATCTCAAGATCTCAACCTTCCATCGACTCCCAATTCCCAATTCCCTCTCCCTCTCGCGGAGGATTATGTAATCGACGACATCATGATTCGTCACCAACCGTCATCGGAAGACGCGTATGATATATTGCGAGGAATCAAATGCGAGGAATCACGTGATATACGCGTATAAGAACGCTCCGCCAGATCTGCAATCCTTATATACCCAGGTTGGTTAGCCGAAATGCATGAATGTGGTAATACAAACCCGAATGTTTAGATTTGTAGTAAAAACACAAGCAAAACGAAAAACAATATCCTCCAAACATCACATTGTAAAGGTTAACTATCATTAAAAGTTTGGAAGATTTGGATTACTAAAGGGTAAATGAAAAGGTCGGTGACCCCGATGATAATAAATAAAAGGGTGACCCGCGAAATTTTGAGAAAAAGGTTGAACAATAACGACTTGTTTTAAAAGAGGCGTATTTTTTTTTTTTTGTTATTATTGATTCTTTTTTTAAAGTTATCAGTTTGTATCACCCACACTTCAAAATATTTTGCATACAGCTTTAATGTAAAAAAAAAATAAAAGGTGAAGGTAAAAGTTATCTATTGTTTTCATTGAGGGTAAAAATTAAATGCGGGGTAAATAAATAATTTTGGACTGGGTAACTTTCAAATGAAGCTGTCAAATCACTAATTAAACAAACTACCCTGGTCTGTAAAACTTCACTAACCATTCCAAAAAATAAGTGGGAAATTTTAATAAATCTTTTCCTAGATGATGATGTTGACCCCATAATATGCAAGTTTTGACATTGTTGCCTTTTGCTTCGTTGAAAGGTTTTACAGAAATTCGCTTGTTTATTTTTACACAAGAAAATCTGACAATTTTGATTAAATGAGATATTTTTACCCCAAAGAAAAAAAAAAAAAGGTTTAATAGAAACGAGAGGGAAAAAAAAAAAAAAAAAAAAACATGGCAAATTAAAAAGGTATGACAAATAGAGTGGGGAATGATTCCTGAGAATTTTTTTTATACATGTATGTGCAAATGCGCACACAGCAAACAATTCTTGGAAATTATGTGGAAAATCCTACTATCATTCCATTTGCCGTAGATTAGATTTTATTTTTTTTTTATTAATTTTTTTTTTATGATTAATAGAAAGATGTTTAAGGTGAAATAAATAAATAGAGATTTGCGTTTGTAAATATTAATAATGAAAAATAGTCAATTCTATAATATTAAAATCATTAAAATCCAACCCATTTTATGGTCGATCAAACAGAAAAAAAAACGGCGAATCTATATTGAAACCCGTTTCGTTGATTACCGAACAAGGAATAAGAATGTAACAAATAGCAATGATCTGTCATTCTTTAATTGGGAACTGAAGAAATGATTGTTTCAGCAAGGTGCGGGGTTTTCTCTCAAGAAGAACATTTGGCGCAGCTGATGACAAATATGCGTAGCGAACTTTTGTGATTCGTTTTACCATTCCCGCTCAATTTATTCCGTAAATAAAAAAAAGTCTTCTGATGCAGTTTTATGGAAGTCAAGTGAAATCATGTCATTTATATATTATGAGTCATATCAATCCACTTTTATTTCTGCCATTGTACCGTTTTTCATATGCTAATTTTAAAGATTTTTTTTTTTTTTTTAAAGAAAAGCTATGTAAACCATCATTTAATATATGATTAAACGATACCCTAATTTTTCCGCCGCACCAAATAATAAAAAAAAAAATTTTTTTTTTTATTCTTTTTATGGTGGGAAAAAATATAAAAAATGCTGAAAAAAAAAAAAAATTATACCTTTTGCTTTACCTGCGCAGCTCACCGAAAATCCTTACCTTACCGGAGCAACAGAGTATTTATTTATACAGGTTTACTATACATTAATTTTTTTTTTTATATTGCATTATTATATAAATCAATTACAATATTACAGAACACAATACAACTTCGATTGACTAAAAAAAATTGTGAATTTTTTTTTTCCCCCTCCTAAGTAAAAAAAAGTTATATAAGGGGAGCTCCTTTTTGGTTTCTTTTCGAATGTTTGATTCGGAATCAATTTAAAAAAAAAAAAAAAAAAAAAAAAATTTTTTTTTTTATTCCCAAATTAGCTCACGAAAAAAAGAAACGAATAAAAATAATATCACATTTTTTTTTTTTTTATTCACAAAAAAAAAAAAAAAAAAAACGACTTTTTCCTTTTTTTTCTTCTTCTTACATCTTTCCACATGCCAACCTTTGATAAAAAATCAGCTACCCCTACCAAATTTAGCGCAATGTCTGCAACAACACTTATCGAACCCACAGAATTTTCCCTTGAAGCAAAAAAATTTTCCCGCCTTCTAAAATCGAGACCTTGTCCAATTTATACCAATGTCATCATCCCAGACATCACATCCGAAAATCAAGAGAGTAATAGTGGAATTATATCACCCATACCATCGGGTCATCTTGAAACTTCCACCAGATTTTGGCAATTTAAGGTTGAAGAAGGCCTCACCACTTACGTTCGCTATGGTAACATCCGTGCTGATGGCACCCTCAAGGAAAGGGCAACCCACATCCAACAACATTATTGTTTTGGTGATGCCAAACAATTTGTCGAGAATTTGATTGATGAAAAGATTAAGGCCGGCTATGTGGGTTGGGCTCGTTGGTAAATTCTCATGTCCTAAAATAGTTTTATACCATACAACAACGACGAAACGAAACAACGAAAACAAACTAACGGTGTTGACGAATGGAGTTGACAAAATAACACAATAACGCACGCAAAACACAACGAAGATAACTATGATATAACATTACGTTCAACTATCAAAAAAAAAAAAAATAAATAATAAAAAAAAAAGAAAGAAAATAACTCAGGGAGGAACAATTATGATACGGCCGTTCAGCGACGAAAAAAACAAAAGCAAAAAGGTGTCCGTATGTAATAATAATAATTATAATAATAATAATAATAATACTGCAATAGCATTACGCATACTACGACGTCATTTTTTTTATATGTAACAATTATAACAACAACAACAATTATATCAACAATAAATTTCAACAAAAACAAACCAAAAAAACAAAAAAAAAAAAAAAAAAAACTAAAAAATTAAATAATCACAAAAAAAAAACTCTTTTAATCTCTAATTAGGTATTTTTTTTACAAATTTTTCGCATTTTTTTTAACAAAAATCTCCTTCCGAAAGGAGCTTTAGTATGTATAAAGGGAAAAATTTTTTTCTTCTTTTATGTAGATATTATTTTATTTTTCTTTTTTGAGTTCCTCCTGTGTAAATAATTAATTTTTTTTTTTTTACGATATACATACTTTTTTCTTTATTTTTCACATCATATTTTTTTTCCCACTATGTTCAAATTATTATACTGTAATAACTTTATACTAGTGTTTTCACTTTAATAATAAAAAAATTTTATATGAAAAGAAAAAATTTAAAAAAAAAAAAAAATCTCCGCAATGATATGATCCGAAGTTCCTTGCTTTATCTGAACGACGATTCCCATTCAAATAATGAATAAATGATTGAATTGGGTATGTGACTTATTTGAACCCAAAGTAATCCTGACCCCAAATTACCTAAATACAAAACCTTTCTTTATCTGTTGATATCAAAGAAATCTCTTATCATTTATCAAGGAATTGACCACTTATCACACGTTATCGTACATTTATCGGTTTCTTATTATTCGCTTAAAACTTCAATAAACTTTAAATTTTTTTTTTTTTATTTCGGTATTTTAAATAACTTTAATTGTAAAATTGTATGTGGATAAATAATCCGACAATCTTGCCCATATCTTAAAATTTCAACATATTCTTTGGTTAACCCGACTTTTTATATACTAGTTTAACTTAACAAGTACAACAATTAAAAGTATTTGTAGAAAGAAAGAAACTTCTTTTTTTGGTTTCTAAAAAAAAAAAACATAATTTTTCTGAGGTCATGATTCCTAGTTTCTAACTTCCTTTAAATGTCCTATTGATCAAGTTCATTTGATGATATGAAAGATACACACAATCTCTTATCTCTTTCAAGGAAAACCTTCAGGAATGGACAAATTTTTTTTTTTTTTGTGCTAAGCCAAATTTGAAAAGATCATGTAAATATGAAAAAAAATTTTTCATCTTTTAAAACGTTTGTTGTTCTCACGATTTTACATTAACCTTTTTATTTCAAATGTTGTGTCGTTTCTTAAATGTATAATAAATGCGCTGTCATGCAATGAATAATTTCTCTTGTTGGGTATTTACTTGGACATCACAGATGAAAACTTTAAAATAAATTTATTGAATTACCTTGTAAGCAATTCATTAAACCAAAAAGTATTTCTCGAGGCTTTTTTCTCTCATGACTAATCCATTTTGATACAAGATATTCCTTGAGACTAAACATGATAAACTAACTACTCTGCCTCTAAAATAGGACACGCCATTCCTCTTTTTCTTCATTATTATACAACTTTTTTTACAATAATGGAAAAAATTGAAACTGGGGAAATTTATTGTAGAAAATCTACTAAACTGTAAGGGTGGCATCTCTTTTTTTTTTTTTTTTCTTTTTTTTTTTGACCAAAAGATAAAGCTCGTGAAAAGATTGCTACCATCGCACAAGAACAAAGGTCATCCTTTTTCAAATTATTGTGGATTATTTTGGTTAAAATGGTAGAATGAAATGATGTGGATATTTTTTTTTTTTTTTTTTTTATATATTCCCACTCTATATATTTTTGTTTTAATGATCTTGTAAAGGAAAGTTCGATTCTTTTTTTTTTTTTCGGTCAGGAACTCAACAAAGCCTCATCATTTACAACGGAAAAAAAAAAAAAATATTTCATTTTCATCGTTTTCAACTGGTCAAACAAATCTATTCTTTTCTTCTCAACTTCCCGCCTTAAACATTTTTCTCACGTTTAATAAAATTATTTATTCCCCCTTAAATTAAACTCGTTTTGACCAACTTTGTTTATAACACATGAAAAAAATAAATTCAAATGAATTAAATCTTACTCGTTCAAAAAAAAAAAAAAAAAAAAACCCAACTTGAAACAAGTTCATACTTTTAATAAAACCTTAACTTTTGGTTGGTTTGAAATTGTTAAAATAAGAGGGTACATTCTTTTTAAAAAAACTAGTTCAAATATTGTAAAACCTTTGTATGATGCAGGGTCAAGAAAACCTGTTCATTTAATACCAAAAAAAAAAAATAAATAAATAAAATTCACAAATGATTATTAGAATAAAAAATCAAATTCGAAGTTATTTTTGCCACTGATTTCCAAAAAAGAATTCCCCTCTCGTCATCCACAATCAAGATATTGCCACGCCTTTCCAAATCTTTATTAAGTGAAATATTTCATCGTGAAGATATGTGATAAAAAAACTCTTATTCATGATAATCGTAAAAGAAAAACATTTCTTCGTCATTTCAACATTTGTTGTATTACAAGAAGACAAATTTCTTGATATCATATGATCATCTCGTCAGACAAAAAGGAAATGTTGCGTTTATTTGTGCGCTTTTCATTCCTAGAATAAGTGAACCAACCACCATATTGATGTCGCCCACTAAAAACCTACAGCAGTTGTTTGGATTTGCCCGACCGGAAAAAAAAAGCATGATGGTACTGAGTCGAAACTCATGCTTTATTCGGTTGAGGTTGGAATTATTTTTGACCATATGAATAAAGGTTTTCCTTTAATTGGAAAGTCATTACGTACGTTGAATGAAAGTCGAGGTCGATTAATTGGTTTCTATGAGGAGTTTACATTCCTTTACTTTTGGAAAAATGGGGGAAAGAAAGCCCATTATTTAGAAACTTTTCGAAACAGATAGAATAAAAAAATTTTTTATTTTAAAAAAGAAATTTGGTTAGCCTCCAATCAATAAATTGTGAACATACATGATGTCAAGAGAAGTTATTTAACTCCTTAAAAAGGAAATAAATAAATTTATTACAAAAGATAATTTGTAATAATGATAATGATAATAATAATAATATTATTATTAATAAAATAAAAAAAAAAAAAAAAAAAAGAGGGAAGAGAAAAGAGAACAACAAATGGGGATTCTCATTTACTCCCTGGAATTTGAGCTTTTAGTCATGTACATGTACAATGTAAATATGAAGGTGTATTGTTTTCTGACGTGATTCTTTATTTTATTTGATCAATCCGGTTTCGAAACTCGTTCAACTTGTTTTGATTCACGATTTAAGAAATAAATAGCGAGGCCGATTGAACACGTGAGGATCGATATTCTTTTATTTTCATCCTCTCTCCAACCTCCACAAATATTACATAATGAATGATCTATCTCCATTGTGATTTATAAGAGGCCACCGTCCGGGGGACATTACTTCGAAATCGACACTTTTTGTGATTGTCTTACTAATTTGGTACATTATAAAATGCGAACAATGGGATGAATTAATAAATTCATGTAATTTCATAATCGTAATTTTTCCGAATGATCTTTAAAGATTGAGAAATAAAATCAAAACTTTCACTGAAACATTTCAGCATGTAATATTAATTTATGTACGCTAATAAATTTGATCAAGTCAACCAGACGTAAGAATCGAGAAAATATCAGATTTTAACAACAGTTATAATGAAATATTCTAAATCAATACACATTCTTTTTTTTTTTTTTTAATTCAGAGTTTAAAGAAAATAATATAATCAAACAATAAATACAATAAATATTTTTTTTTTTTAAAGTGTAATTAATTTAAAGTTATATCTACATCAAAATTACAAAATAGTACAAGGGGAAATAATAAATAAATAAAAAAAAAAAAAAAAAGAAAAGAAAAAAGAAAAAAGAAATCGATTCTATTATGAAAAAGGAATATGATATGGTTAAATGTTTAAATGCATTTGTAAAATTTAAAAAAAGAATTGGTGATAAAAATAGAAAAAAAAAAAAAAATAAATAAAAAAATTATGAACCACCGAAAAATGATGATAAAGACATCGAACTTATTCGCTTATCTTGTCTACTCTTTGGAGAAATTGCACCGTTATTAGGTGATTTTGGTCTTCCAGCTTCGGTTAACCCATTTACCAACGACCTTAATCCCTCCATTTGTGAACAGATCGATTCTCTCGCTTCTTCACTTTCCGCCAACCGTAATTTAACATCCGCCAACATCTGTTCTAATTCATTAACTCTTTTGACCGAACCGCACATTTCATTACATTGCGATATTATGTCAAATCCATCTTCTTGTACTGATGATGATGTGGATTTTGCCGTTTCACTTCCCCTTCTAAATGAATTGCCGGTAAAGAAATTCAAAAATGAACTTTTTCCGCTTCTTATGCTACTATCATCATCGAGCAATACATCACTATTGTCATAATATATTTCATCATCGGAGTCTGTTGCTACGGATTCTTCCAACATTACTTTTAGCGATTCTATTTCCTTCTTAAACTTTCCATTCTCTTTAATTAACTTTCCATTTTGCGATTTCAATTCCTTGACTTGGTGTTCCATTGAATTTTTTTCATAAACCGCATGTGCCGCTTCATCATCTAATCTTTCAATCTCTCCTCTCAAGAATATATTCTTCTCTTGTAACAATTCATTTGCAATTTGTGAATTTTTCAAGGTATCCTCCAATTCATGAATCCTCTTGTGCAGTTCATCGTTTTCTTGCAATAAATCTAATTTCTCCATCTTGACTTGTATTAGTTCGTCCGTTAATGCCGTATCGCTTTGCGTTCCGTTTTTATTTTGTTCGTCGCTCAAATCGATTTCATCAAATTCTGAGGTATCCGGCGTAGATAAAAATGTCGTCGGTGACGTATTAGCTGACCGGATGGATGACATGGATGATGACGTTGAGGATAATCTTGACATCGACATAAAGCTCGTTACCGAACCACGACGTGGCTTTTTCAATACGTCCGAATCCGACGTTCTTCTCTTAAAAACGTGGTTAATTCCAACTTCCGTTGATGGTCTTGGTGTTACATCATGATCTTCGGGCAATTGGTTTAACATTCCCAAAGAATTTAATGAAGTCCTCTTTGATGAAATGGCCCCTTCCCTGACATCATAGTCGCTAGGGTCAAGGGAAAACATTGATAACGATGACATTCGCTTATTTTCCTTCTCTAGTCCACGAGCATTTTTCTTTACGTCTTCCAATTCCGTGACCAAATCCATCTTTTCCATCTTTACAATGACCAATTGTTCGGTTACATCGGCGTGTTCCTTTTGAAGTTGGGACAATGCTGCAACCAAATCTTCGATTTGTTGATGTAACAGTCCGGAATTCATCTTGTCTGGTGTAAACGCGACTGCCATGGGAGATGGTGCCGCATTTTCATCGTCGGAAGATGAAACTTCACTGGATACATTATTTAAAGAAGATGATGAAGCAACTGATTGTCTCGAAATCGGGAGTGCCGTAAATGACCAACGTTTTGGTTTTTCCGGTTTATTATTTCGTTTTGCTTCCTTCTTTTTCTCTGTTTGAGACAGCCTTTCTTTGAACCGGATCGCCGCCAATTTTTCCGCACGCTTCTTTTGTTCCTCCAAATCTTTAACGTAATTTGTAGCCAATTGATCCAATTTGGCTTTGGTAATCACGTTACTCAGACCCATCGCATCCTTGATTAAACCGGTTGGTTCATTATCATATGCTTCATAAAGTCTCGATGAAAGAAATTCCAATAAGTCCTCAAATTCACCGATCTCAAGTAAATTCGTCTCATTCTTCTTTAGCAACGCAATGGCTACGCGCATGATTGTCTCGGGAGCCCCTTCTGCAAACACTACGTCATAAATCCGAAGGACCAAAGGTAATGGATACGTATAAGCGAATAATGATAAAAACCATTGTGAAGCAAACATTGCCGCATGTACCACATGATGTTGAAAATGTGCGCTAAGCTTTGGAAGTATCTGCGAGAGAAGGGCCGAAAATTGATAAAGACGAAGTTGAAGTCCCTCCATATTTAATGTAAACATTGTTCGCATATCATAGGTTTCCATCAATCTAATGAACGGCAAAGAATGGAATTAGAATTCATTGACTCCAAACGTATTAAAAATTGATATTTTTTTTCCCTTACCGAACAAATACACAAAATGCCTGTGCCTCGCTCATCTGATAAAGGAACGTGGATATATACGACCATTAACAAGAATTTTTTTTTTTAAACAAATAAAGTAATAACGATGACTCACATTCATTAAAAGTGGTCCCACCAAGAATCCAAGACCTTGACAATATCCAACCAAATTATCATACAAAGAGTACGCTTTCAACACATTCCACAACATGGTCTGACCTTTACCATTTTCTTCTTTAAACATTTCAATATGAGGGAACGTTCTTGCAAGATCACGTTCAATGATCCTTTCATATGGAGAGGATTCGGACAACAATTGAGAATACATTGTTTCCAAGTAGGTGGAAGAAGCTTGACACATTGATTGCCAAACCAAACCTCTCAATTTTGGAGGTAGACCTTGCTGTAATTTCGCGGAAAGGAGGTGAGGTAATTTCGTAGCCACCGATGAATAGTCCTGAACCAAAGCGGACCAGAAATCCCAGTCGATAGTTTTTGAAGCATCATCAGCGTCATTCCCATTCTCGTTAAGGATTGGAATCAAATCGGTAATATCATTTTCATTTTCGATTGTGGGACTTGAGTTAATATCATCAATTAATGATTGCACAGTTTCAAGATTAGCCTTGAGAACGTTTGATTGAATGCACACGGATTTTGGATCATTATCCAAGATATTATTTTGACGTTCAAGACGCGCGAGCAAAAATTCCGTGGAGTTCTAAGAATTACACGAGCATCATTTTTTGGTCAGATGAGTTTTTCGTCGTGACGTCACCACATACGTGACGTACGTGACACGAATGAAAGTCTTACCTGTGGTGGCAATTGAGAGTTCTCTTGTTCCAATCTCGCGAGCAAATCTTTATCAAGTTCACCTTTAGGAAGCGCTCCCAAAGCGGGTGATACTTTTAAGACATAATCTCTTGCAATTTGCCATCTTTGATCTGGGGGAATGGTCAGAGGTGAAGATGACGTAGAATCTACCGCGGATTCATCATTGGAAGTGGATTTGTTTTGAAAAGATTCCGAACGACGCAATTCAATAATTTTCGGCGACAGTAAAGGAGATGGAGAAACATCCGCGGACACCACAGATCTTGAGATTTTATTTTTTGCAGAGTCATGCTTTTGTTCCTTTTGGTGTTTCTGTTGTTTTTGCTGCTTTACCATCAGATTCAATTGAGCGGGGGCACCTGGCCTTCTATTTAACAAATTTAGAGTATTTTCGTCATTAAATGAACATCCAGGGTTAGCCTGGGTTGGGGTAACCAAAGTCTCTGAATTACATTGATCGTGAATAGGAAGAGCATTAGGAGCAACATTTATGGAGAGAGGAATCTTTTTCTCGAATTCAAATTTTTCAGAAGAATCAAGTTGGTCATTAGTATCCTGCCTAATATCAACGATTCCTTTCTGAATAATAACATGACTTGTTTCAACAGCAAGTTCATTCTCGAGAACTTTAGTAAGGGTAGGATGCAAGACTTCAGGGATGACGGTCGTTGAGATGGAGGAGGTAACTTCCATATTTTCTTGAGAGGGTGTTGCTTTTAAATCTTTGACCAGCTCTTGTAAACTTTCCGACCGAGGAGGATTTCCTTGCAATGGATATTTTGGAACTATTTTCCTTTATACTATTTTACAAAAAACTTATATGTACATAAAGATAAACCCAAAAAGTGAAAATAAAATAAAATAAAATAAAAGAATAAAGGTTGGTAAAAAAAAAAATTTAAAAAGTGATTATAATAAGAATGAAATATGAGAGGAGGGAATTAAAATACAATGAGTATGAGTTTTTATTATAATTAATATTGAAGATCTCATCTGATTGGATTCGTTAAAAAATTAAAAAAAAAAAGAGAGTTTTAAAGAGAGGAATAAAAAATAGGTTACATTCTGTATTTATAAAAAATTATAGCAAGCTGTCATACTAATACATGATTTCCTATTTCGATTAATTTATGTAATGTAGCACACAATGAAGGAATTGGTAGGATTTACCAGTGAATTTTTAGGGGGGGAGAAAAGAAAATGCACAAACTGCATTCATTTTTAGACAACCATCAATTAAAACGCCCGTGTACAACAAACCTTGAACATAAATTTTTTTTTTTTTTTATTGTTACAATAATTAGTAAAATGAAACTCCTTTTGTTATTGAGTTTTGTGTTTTTATGTTTAAATGAAATGAAACTGGTAACAGAAACAATCTATATATTAAAGCAAACATCATGTCTGAAGCAAATATATATATATGTTATATTTATATTTATTTATATTATTTGTTTTATTTATAGAATTTAGGATCTATGAGGTGGCTTGTCATTTAACCTGAAGTCCTTTATTAGAAAAAGGTTGACTTAAATTAAATGTACTCAGGTGATTTTTTTTTAATAAATTGTAATGCAAACGAGTATCTTGTAGTCTAACCTGATACGATAACCTTTACGGAAATTTTTTCACGAGCTCGTGGTAAGATTGTAAGGGTTTATACGTGATAGGATAGTGGGCAATTGTTGTGTTACATCTATGACTTTCTCTATCATTTATTTATTTACTTGTTACATAAAGAAGTTTTAGAATCAGACTTTTTTTTTTTAATGTCTCAAAAAGGTTTCATTTAATAGAAACCTAGTAAAGTAAAAAAAAAAAACTTTATCTAAACTTGCTTAGTGCTGGAACAAAAATACCTTTGAAAGGATTATAAAACGTTCCCCTGCATATAACTTTAATTACCACCACCCCAAATCTCATAGCATTCACTTACTTCAATGATAATAATGATAATCTAGATTCGCCTTCAAAGTTTGGGCACGACAAATTATTTTAGGTTTTACTTTTGCCGAATGCAAACTTTCTTAGCGAAACTTTCTCTTTCGTCTAAGAAACCAAATTCGTTTAAAACGCGTGACCGTGTGGCTGATCACGTGCTTTCTCTTATCAGAAACGAATCAATTCGGTTTTATCTACTGACTCTCAAAAGTTTTTATTTTTTTTTTTCTCTTTCGATGGTAAAAAAAAAACTATCGAATAGGGATAAACAAATAAATACGCGTAAATTACGCGTACATTGCATCGCAGACAAAAGTCGAATATGGTGAGATTTACGGTGCAACTACTTTTGTAGGGAGTTCAAATTTTAATGGACAGGCAATAGAAGTTGAATAAATAAATATATATATTGTCACAACTTCACAAAGTTTAGATAAAAATAAAAAAATCATGTTCGTTTGAACGCCCATAATCAAGTTCTTTTCTTGTTTAAATCAAACGCAAATGCAAACACAAAAAAAAAAAAAAATAAATAAATTGAAAAAGTAAATATCAATAAAATTCAGAGGAATTTCACGAACGATATCAGATTTCATTTTCGCATTAAATGAAAAACGGATTATTATTTGAAAACTTGGATTTTAATTTGCAACATAAGTGATACGACGATTGATATTAAAGTTTACGGAGAATTGTTTGTTTATATTTTTTTGTAAACCATCAAAAAAGATTTGCTTCCCTTCCTTTATTTGGCATAATGCCAAATTCATTAAAGTGATCGAATTTGATTTTAATGTCGTTCCAATTTTTTCTTTTCTTTTCTTTTCATTTTTTGGAAACAAAAGGTTGAATAGATTAAAACTCGATGCCCTCTCAAAAGGTTTCAAAATTTTTGCGTGATTTCATTGTTTTATGCTTTGCTCCTGTTAATAATATAATATATAATGTGTTCGATACCACCAGGATAAGAAACGGGATTTTTTTTTGGGAATCCCGCTTACTAACCGTAAAACGTATCGCCCTGTATGTATGTGACACAAAGTACCACGTGACTTTGCACTTAAATTAAGTGGATGAAAATCAATTCCTATTTTTAAAATTTAAATTCTCTTCCCTCCCTTTTTTTTCTTAAGAGGTTCATCGTATTATTCAAACCTTAAATCATAATCCTTTTATTATTATTATTCAATTTTTTTTTTTTTTAAAAAACAAAAAATAACGTGGGAAAGAAAATAAACATGATGAATCTGAACAAGGATTGCCTTATATTGATAGTAAAAGAATTAGATGATGATGATTCTTTACATTCTTGTATTCTGGTTAATAAACTTTGGCATGAAACGGCGCTCCCGATTTTATGGAAGAATCCTTGGAGATTCTTAAAAAAGGAAAAGGATAACAACAATCATGAACATTTCATCAAGAAGATGACATTATTCTTTAACATCATACTTTCACATTTATCACAAGAATCAATCAATTTATTAAGAAAGGATGGGATCGATATAGTTTCGAAACCAAGAAAACTTTCATTTAATTACATTGGATTTTGCAATTCTATCGATCATCAATTGATTTACATGTACATTCATGAGATATACAATGGTAATTATTATCAGAGGTTATTATTGGAGAAGGAAATCCTTAACCTTTTTATTAATAAATGCGTGAGATTTGATTACCTAAACATTAATGACAAGATGAAAATTCAAATCCATCAGTTCCCCGGGGTGATGACAAGTCTATCAAAGCTTTATGAGTTACATTGCACCTCAAATATCGATCCAATGATCTTTTACGGGTTGGCTCAAATCTGTAGATTCATAGAAAAATTTAACATAACCTTATCAGGTGATAATCCCGGACTTGCCATCTTGATCGAAAAACAACAGAGAATAAAATACCTTCAACTTAATTTACAGTATGAAAATGATTTTTATAAGGAAAGTGGTGAATTCGAAAGGTATGCTAGAAATGATAACAATAAACATAAATATGAAAGGTTGGGTCAGGCATTGGACAAACATGCCATCACCCTACTTTACTTAAATTCAAACATCATGTGGGAGAATGATTTCATTATTAACTTTTTACCAAAATTAATTAATTTACAATTATTATCATTACAAAAATTTTACGTTTCAAATTTCATAGAGAATCAATTATCAATTTCAAAATTTTCTAAACTTCAAATATTAGATTTATTTTCCATATCATTACAAACCACCATAAAGATTATTGAAAAAACTGATGGGAACCTTTGGAAGATCAAATTATCCTATTACAATTTATCTGATAAATTTTTTTCGGGAAAGTTGATTCAAACAATTTGTCAAAAATGTCCAAACCTTAAAGATGTTCACATCCTCCTTACTAATGCTCAGGATCTCTTTGAATTCGAAAAATTGTTAATCAATTGTCAAAACTTGGAGAGAATTATCATAGATCCCTATTTTGAAGATAATAATAAGATCGATAGTAATCAATTATTGGACATATTAATTAATTCGTCCCCCATTAGCTTATATAAAATTCATATCGGGAATAGTTTAGAATTTACCATAGATGCCTTGGATTTATTTTTTAAAAAATGGCAAGGGAGAAAGCCTTTATGGTTATCTCCCGTTAAATTGGTCGGTGAATATATTAATTGGGATGATATTGAGAACATCAATGATGATGAAATAAATATTTGTAATGAGTTACTTAACTTGCTTAAAGAATACAAAATGAAGGGCGTCATCAAAAAATATAGGTATAGCATTTAAAAAAAAAAAAAAAAAAAGATAATAAACGATAAAACATAAACATAAAAATCTTTAAATTTCGAGTTTTTTTTTTTTTGCTTGCATTCGAAAACTATTAATTCAGTAGCGCACTTCGCCGAAATTCGGAAAATCAATTCTATATTCACGTAATGATTTTCAACTTTTCTCGTTTTTTTTCCCTTATCGAATGAATTTAAAAAGCAGCATGATTCCAATATTACCAATCTCTGCAAAAGAGTTTGCAAGATTTATGAGTAGATTTAATCTAAAATATAAAGAAAGATTAGGTATCGAATCATTATCATCTGTTAAACGATGTTGCTTTCTTATAAAACTTACCAATAAAAAATCTTTCTCTCTTTAGGAGTCGCTGTGTCAGGAGGGGTGGATAGCATGGCACTATGTTACTTATTAAACCAATATTGTAAAAAATCGGAACATCAAATTACGGCATTTATCATAGATCATCAATTAAGAAGAGAGAGTACAAATGAGGCATTTCAAGTTTCTAATGCTTTATCAAAGTTGGGTAAGTGTCAAAAAAATTACCTTTTTTTTTCAAAACTAGATTCGAATAAAATTTATTTTATTCATCATTAGAAATCGATAATAAAATAATGAGAATTCAATGGAAAGATCATGATACATCAAATCTTAATGATTTCGTTTCTCCATTTCCAACCAAATCTCAATATGAAACATTTGCTAGGATTGAGAGGTATAAATTATTAGCAAAAGGTTGTCATGAGAATAAGATTTCTTCATTGTTTGTAGGACATCACTTAAATGATCAATTAGAAACTTTAATCATGAGATTATCAAGAGGAAGCGGAATTGATGGACTAGCTTCAATTTCGATGATTGATAAATTTCCTGTTATAAGAAACGTTGAAGCCATTGAATTGCAAATTATTAGACCTTTATTATCTGTTACCAAGGTGTGATTTTTAAATGGATTTTTTTTTATTATATAAAACGAAAAATTTTATCTTTGTTTATTTTGCATTACTTTTAGGATAGATTAATAAAAACTTGTGTTGAAGCAAATATACCATGGATTGAGGATCCTTCAAATCAATCAACAGATCATAAAAGAAATATTGTAAGATTTTCATTAAATAAATTAAATAAAAGATATCTTGTTGAAGGATTGAGAGAATATGAACCTTTGTCTACAGGAGGATTATTAAGGTTTATGAATCATATGAAAGATCACAAGAATTATATAAATTCCCAAGGTAAGTAATTGTTCTATGTATTTATTTAAAATATAAATAATATAAATATCACCTTTTTTAATCATAAATTTATATAGTGAACAAAATCATAAGGAATAAAGAATATTCAAAAATTAATTTTGATAATGATAATGGAATTTGTTCACTATCTTTACCAAATCCAATTCCTTCTTCTCATTGGATTTTAAAAAAACATTTAGCTACAAGGATAGTAAGCAGAATAATAAGATTTGTTAAATGTTCAGAACAACCTCTAAGATTAGAATCTATACTAAAATTTTATAATCATATTTTATCATCATCTTCTTCATTACATGATATGAATTTAAATCACAATATCACATTAAATAAGATTTTATTGTATTGTAAAAAAGTTCCTATTCATATTAAAATCTTTGAAAATGGTTTTTATAATCATTGGACATTTTGTAGACAACCATTCACATCCTTAGAAGAAAAAAGAAATATTATAAATATTCAACATAATCAAGTTATATTATGGGATAATAGATTTTTTATAGGAATAAATATCAAAAATAATCAAATTGATTTATTTAAAAATCAAATACAACAGAAAATAATTTCTTTATCACCACAATATTATATAAGAAGATTACATAGTAATGATATTTATAATATATTTGAAAAAAAGAAAAATAATCACAAAAATATAAATATAATGTATAAAAATATAATTGAAGAATATAAAAAAAATGTACCTCATATTGCTAGACATAATATTCCTGTAATTATAAAAAAGTGGAATTGGATTTCTTTAGATGGTAATTTACATGAAAATGAAAAAATTATTAATATTCCAACTTTGAAAATATCATTGAATCAAAAAAATATTTATTGTTGGGTTAAATTTCGAGGAAATATTTTTATTGATACAAATGATAAAGAAATAAGTTAAAAAAATTATTAGTTATTCCTTTCAAAAACATTAAAATAAATAAAATAAGTTGATAAAATTTGATTTATAATAAGAGATTTTTTTGATAATTATTCTTAATAAAAAAAAGCTTTTTGCTAACTTTTACGTTAAAGTTAATTTTCTGTTTTATATAATGTTACTTTTTAATAAATTGAAATAACTTATAATCAATTAGTTTTATAAAATTAGTAATGTTAAAAAGCTTAAAATATTTTTATTACAATTATTAAAATTTGTAAATCAGACATTTTAATATTAATCTATAAGTTACATTTAAAAAATAGTTTTAGATCTAATAATAAAAGATTTTACTTATTTTAACATTAACCAAATTCTTAATTTAATATAAAATAAGCTTTAAAAATATAATATATTAAATCATCAACTATTATAACGAATGTTATTTAATAGTATAAATAAGTATTTTAAATCTAATATAATCAATTTGATTATAATGAATTATCCATCTAAACTGATTAGATCTTTATTATAAGAAAATCTGTATTACTATAACAAATTTTAGTTTATATAATAAATAATTTATTATAATAATAATGTTAACTAATCAGATTAATTAAATTAGTCTAAATAATTATGTAATAATAAATATATACTTTATCTTTTTTATTTTATTATAAATTTATTTTTTTTGTATTTTTTTAATTTAAGCTTTCTTATTTTTTTTTGTTCTAATTTATGTTAATTTTTTTTTTTTTAATTTTAGATAAGATAAAAGAAGAAAAAGTAATTTTTTTTTATCTTTTTATATTAAATATTTTAATTTTAATTTCAAACAAAAAATTTTTTTATTTTTTATTTTTTTAAGATTAGTTTCTTTAAATTTTGAAAACTAATTAATAAGTTGATTAATAAATAGACTTCTTTAAAAATGTTTACTAATAAAATTCTAAACAAATTAATTTAAATTAGATCAATTAAGTTACTTAAACTGAAAAATTAAGTCAGATTAAATAAAAATCTGATTTGATTTTAATTTTTATTAGATATGATTAAATTATTCAAGAAGAATAATAACAAATTATTCAAAATGAATAATTAGTTAATCTGAATTTTATCAGATTAGATAATAGGTTAATCTGACCTAATATTAATCTGAAAATCTACTAACCTGACTTAAAATTTTAAGTTAGATCAGATTAAATAAATAAGTTAATCTAATTTAATTTAAAGCTTAAATGTTAATATTACAAATTCAATATAATTTTTCTTAATTTATTATTACTAATTAATTTTTTAAAATCTATTTTAAATTTAAAAATATATAAGTCACTTTATAAATACATATAAAAGATTTTAGTCTAATTTATGATAAACTTAAGCCTAAATTATAACATAAATTAATAATATTAAACAGATATTTAGATAATATCTATCATAAAAGAAATTATAATAGATGTATTGTCTATATTATAAATCTTACAGTTTAAGAAATATTAAAGGAAATTAAAACTGAATGATATGAAATGAAAATATAATCTTAGAAAAACTTGAAGAAATAAATGTTTATATATATAAGACTATACCTAAAGTAAATTCTTAATATATAGATAATATAATCAGAATTATCTATTAAATTTTATTAATTATTTAATTCAAATATTATTATTTAATTAAAGAATTTATTATAAAGATTCAAGTATTTTTAATACATCAGGAAAAATTTTAATCAATATAATCTTTATTAAAATGTTAAAAATCTAAATCTTATTTTAAATATAAAGACAAAGTATTAAAATTTATACTTGATTTTCAAAAGGTAAAATACTAAAATTTATTAAAATTTTTCCATAGTAAATTATAAAATCATTTATTACCGTATCATTCTGAAAATAAGTAATCTGTAATATGCTCCTTTTATGGTAATTTTTTATTTGTCATTTATATTTTATTATATTATTTATCACATATGTAATAATAAATATTTATTTGTCATGTGTTGCTTATTTTTATATAGTATAATATATTTATAATTATAGACAAAGTATTAAAATTTATACTTGATTTTCAAAAGATAAAATACTAAAATTTATTAAAATTTTTCCATAGTAAATTATAAAATCATTTATTACCGTACCATTCTGAAAATAAGTAATCTGTAATATGCTCCTTTTATGGTAATTTTTTATTTGTCACTTATATTTTATTATATTATTTATCACATATATAATAATAAATATTTATTTGTCATATATTGCTTATTTTTAAAATAGTACGATATATTTATAATTATATAGTCACTTAATGAAATTATAAGAATTAAATAAGAATTGATACAAATATAAGTATATATATAAAAGATAAAAGAAAGAATTCAAATATATTAGATGTAATAATTTAATAGTTTGTAATTATTATTCTGATAAGCCAAAATAGGCATTCATTAAATATATATATAGAATAATAATAAGTAATTCTAAAGTATCTTATTATGAGAATATTAGATTTAATTACATATCTCCAGAAAAAATTCTTAGTGTAAAATTATTTTTACTTGAGAAGAGCACTTTAATCATTTTTAAGGATATATGTATTACTCCTAAATCTATTTAAAATCAAATTATACTATTTTTTACAAATGAACAATATTAAAATATTTCTTTATGCTATATTATTTAGAAGTATTATTATGCATTCTGTACTTTATTAATAACTTGTATTTATTATTTTATTTACTTAATATCATATCTTAGTTTTGCTACTTCAGTCTTAAACTTAGCATTTTCAGCATCATGCTTTACATTCTCTTCAATAATCTGCCTTAACTTTACATTTTTAACTTTAACCTTAATAAACTTTAATAACTTCTCTTTAAGTTCATAAATCTCAGCATTCTCCTTTCTAAGCTTTGTAATCTCAGCTAAGAACTTGATATTTAATTTTCTCAATGAATTAGTAGATTGTATATTAGATGATAATTTTTTATACAAGATGAATAATTCAAAAGTTTATTAATATAGATAAAAATGAAGTAATATTCTTATCAGAATTGCTGATTTATTGATATAAAACTTATTTTACAATATAAAATAGTATTTCTATATTAATATCTGCTAGTTTTTTGCTTGCTTACACTATTAATATATATTATTTCACTCTATGATCAATTTTATTATTCTAACTATCAATATTCTTGATAAAGCAAAATGATCATTAGTTATACTTATATGCAGTATTAGAAAATAATCAATAGATAATAATATTAACCGTAAACTGAAATTTTATATTATTTACAATCTGTAATTCTTTAAAAATTTGTATAAGAAAATTATCATTTATTTGCAAGTTTTAGAATCATTCTTCTGTAAAGTTACAACCTAAAAAATATATTTCATTTATATCTTGATTATAGAAGTATCTTATTTAGACTTTATCAGCACTTTTTTCAAATTGTGATATGTTAGTTTTTTTTAAGTGAATCTATAATATTTAGGCTCAGAGAAAAAATAAAATGGTTATGTGAAAATCATGTCACTGAGTGTTATTATATTTATTAATTTAAAAAAATCATTCAGATTTTAAATTAGTCAAAACAGTCAATTGTATGATCTAAAATTATATAATATTAATTTATTTTTTAATAAATATTGCTAAGAATCAAAAAATTGCCTAAAAGTCTAATGAATAATGATAAAACTTCATTAATTATTTTTCCTATATTGATAAATTACCTTTTTTACTATGTTTATTAAACTTCATTAATTATTTTTCATATATTGATAAATTACCTTTTTTACTATGTTTATTAATTTTGATCAAAATATCTATATTATTTGCTGTATTACATCATTATAAGTTACAAAAAGTTTATGCAAGAGTTTATGTTATGATGTATTTTAAAAAAGTATATAAAATATATATACCTAAGACTTTTCTTAAAACTTATTAATACTTATTCTATCATTTTTATAACTTTTTTATAGTAATATTATCAAAATTAATACTTCATTTAATTATTACATCTTAAGTAACAATTTTAAAACTATTTCAGTTAATATTTATAAAGACAATATAAATAGAAGATATTTCTAATATAATAAAGCACAAATCTCCTTAGCCAATTTTAAAGTTTTACATATTTTAAGAAATATATATATAAGATATATGATATTTAAAAAGCTGATTAACGTAAAGTAAAATTTAATAGTTAATATTAAAGCAGAAAGGATTAAAAATAATAATATTTCTATTGAAATATAAACTTAAAGGATTTTTTTTTGCTAAAGTTTAAGCAGTACAATCAGTTACAGTAGCAGTTTTAGCCTATTTAATTAAATATTCAATTATAATAATAATATAATAGTTATCTTATTTAGTCTTTAGTAAATATTCAATATAATTAATTTTTACTTAATCAAAAGGTTGATCTAACTGATATTAGATATAAGGATTCTTTTTGATAAGAAATTGACAGATATCATAAGTTTATATCTATTTCTTAATATAATTATACATATTTAGATAATAGTATTTATTAACTAATTTATTGAAGGTGATATCTCGTTTAAGATGTCTTCCTAGTAGTTTATTATGAATATTATATAACAAAAATTCTAATTCAATAATTTTTATTATAAAAAGAGGATTAGTTTTATTTTACAAATTATATTAGTATAAGTGTTAATTATAAATAATATAATATTTAGCTTATTTTTGAATAAAAAATTGTTGTATAGTACAGATAAAGATAGATAAGTTAATTATATTAAATAAAGATAAAGATTATTATATAAATTAAGATCTATATTGTAATATTAGAGCTATTAGTTATATTTCTAATACTTATGCTTTATTCTAAATAAACTTCTTTTATTTATAAAATTTAAATTAGAATTCTGAATAATGCACTAGCATTTAAATGAATTTTTTTTTTATAATATCAAATATTATAATTAAATTCTATAATTTTAATATTCTATTGCATAAATTTTTATAATAGATCAGGTTTGTTAAATAATCATTAAAGTGTAACATAATTGATAATAAGGTCAAATGGTTAATATAATAAATATATTCTAAAAAATTTTATTGCTAAAATAGTAGTAAAACATTTCAGTTCTATTAGTAAATAGTTTCTTTCAGCATTATTAAAACTTCTATTTATATATATAATTACATGTTTTTTTTATTGCTCATCTAATTATATTAAAATAGTGCTAAGACCTATATATAATTTATTGGTAAATAAATAAATTTTTTTTAAAGAAATCAGGATAAATGAGAATAGATGTAATTATTAAATAAGTTTTTAGATATTTAAAAGCTTGTTATTGTAATTCAGTTCATTGATATTGTATATCTTTTTGTAATAATATATATAAAGATATAATCATAGAAAAATTTTGAATAAAGTTTTGATAATAAGATATTAGTCCTAAAAGTAGAGTCAAGTTTGTTAAATTAAAAATTCTTTAACTTTTTCTATTTTGGATGGATTAGATGAAATTTCTTGTTTACTTATAATATGGTCTAGAAAAGCTAATTTCAATTTTTTAAATTTATATTTATCACATTTTAATTTTAGTCCAGCTTTTCTAAATTGTTAAAAAATGTATTATAAATGATTAAGATATTTCTCAAAATTCTCAGAAAAGATAATTATATTATCTAAGTATACAGTAATAAATTTTCTAATTTCTTCTTTGAATATTTTATTTATAAGTTGTTAGAAAGTGGCAGGTGTATTGGTTAATCTAAAAGGTATAACTGTAAATTTGTATAATTCCTAATTAGTAATAAAAGCTATCTTTTATTAGTCTACAAATGCTATTACTAATTGTTAATATTCACTAGATAAATTTAATATAGTGAAATATTTAGCATATTCAAATATATCAAGAAGTTTATTAATTTGAAAAAGAGGGTAAAACTATTGTCTAGTAATACTGTTTAATTTTTAATAGTTAACACAAAATCTTAATTTATCATTTTTCTTTTAAACTAAAATAACAGGTGAGCTCCAAGAACTTTCAGATAATTGTATTGATTTATTTTTCAACATTCTATTGATTTCTTTCTTAATAAAATCTTGTTTTAGAGATATAACTTGATAAGTTCATTATTTGATAGGAAAACTAAAATATAATGAGTTTTCATATTAATATGTTCTAATTAAGATAAATTATTAGTAAATATATTATTATTTTTCTGTAAAAATTACATAAGCTATTATTGTTATTTATTATTAAAATGATTTTATATTAGAATAATAACTGTTTCTTCTGGTATATTTAAAAGTAATTGTAAATGTTTACATTTCTCATTGTATAAAAAACATTCATTAGTAGCATAATTTAGTTTATTATAATACTAACAATGAGTTTTAGATCCTTTCTAATAATATTTTATTTTTCAAATGAAGGTGATTTTACATTAAATTTTTATTTTAAACTCTCATAATATTGAGGTGAGTAAGTTTATCCTTAATGATAATTTGTTTAAGTTTACTTTCAGTAAAAATAGGTTGAGTTACTTAATCTTCTAAAAATAGTATAATATCATTATAATATTAGAATTTCATTCTTATATTTATCATCTGATATTGATTTAATAGAATTTAGTTATTAGAATTAATCAAAGAATAATTTTTCTTAGCAAATCATTAAAACTTGGTATATAGTTTTATTCTATTTAAAGAAGAAACTTACTTTGTCTCTGTGAAGTTAAGCTTAACATTTGGTAAGCTAATTATTTTTTAACTATAATATAGTAATCATTGATTCAGTGATGTCTACATTTATAAAAATTTTTATATTATTTATTTAGATAGGAATATTAAAAACTTATTCTAATGGTTATAATCATTTTTCTTGAATATTAATTATTATAATATATAAAAACACTTCAATATTTTATTTTAGTTGCTTTAAAATGATCTTAATATAATGCTTCTAGCTAATTTTGAGCCTAAAATTAAATAAATTAGTTTTTTGTTAATATACGTATAATAGTATATTACTTCAATTGCTTTAGGTTTATTTAAGGGATTTTAATTATTACTGATATACTCACTTTTAGGAGATACTGTTAGTATTTTAAATATGATTAAAGAAGAAAAATTAATGCTATTAAATTACTAGTTAAAGTTATAATAATTCTAGCAGTTGCTATATATAGAAAAGTAGAAATTTGTTGTGAGACTATAGGAGTATTTTGAGATAAAGCAACTTTTTGACTATTATTGAAATTATTAAAAAATTCATTAACTTTTGTGACATAAATTTTCTTAATGCTTAAATTATCTATAATGATAATAAGAACCTTTAAATAAAGTAATATAATTCTTAACAGTATGATCCTGTTGTTTATAAGTATAATAAATTATATTATTATTATTATTTTATTTCTTATTATTATGATTAATTTGAGGTTAGTAACAGTTTTTGCAATTTATCCATTAAGTTTATAGTTATAATAACTTTTATTATTATTATTATTTCTCTTCTAATATTATTAAATTAATTATTTCTCTAGTTATTATTAAAAATTTTTCAATGATCATTTTAGATGTCACAATAGTAGTAGTTAAAAGCTATTTAAATTTTTTTATTAATTTCGCATTATTTTCATCAATTAATTATTACATACTTTTAGAATTTTCTTTAATTTCCTCATTATATTGATTAAGATAAGTTTTAATAAGAGAATATCCTGATAAAATGGTATTCTTAAAAAGAATTGCTTTTATAGAGCAAGTTTTATCATTTGTCTCCTTTATGTTATAAGGTATAATAGCAGCAATTGTAATTTAAATTTTTAGTCAAAGTTCTTGTAAAAATTGTTCAATCTTTTCATCTTCAGGTGTATTATAAAGATTCTATACTAGTAGTATATTTCTTAACTAATTATTCTGAATGTTATTTACAATATTAATGTGCAGAATACTATTGAGTTCTTCTATAAGTGATGCAATAAATTGATATACAAAAAATCTATATTATGTTATCATCTTTTTGATTGTCTCAGTAATAAATATTTTTTATTTTAGCCTTATTAAATTAAGTAAGAGCAGATTCTTTGAGAAAGGATGAAGCAAAAGTTAGATGTCATTTATCAGAAATTATATTTATTTTACATTGTTATACGAGTTGATTGCGAAGTTTACCGACTGAAAAGTAAACTTCAACGCGTATAGCAACGTTTTAGGTATCTGAAGGATAATAATTTATGTTAATAATCCTAAAGTCTTGTTGGCGTCAATAGAATTATCAAAGTAAATTACTACAATCAATGTAATTA